AAATGACAAGCAAGGCCGCTACGATGCCTGCGTTGTTGCCTGGTTCGCCTGCCCGGTTTGGTGCGTCCTTCCCGGCAGCGGCCGAGGTCGAATGACAACATCTGACGCTCCCGTCTCTTCCTTAGAGATATATAACGTGATAGTTTTAAAGTGTCGTTAAAGTTAACAAACACTTTCAAAGTTAGCATGTGTATAACGGGAATGCAATTGCTAAAGTTATGATACTACTGTGTGCGTATTAGCACGATTGGCTACGTACAGTTTTAAGTGTGTTAAATCTAAATTGCAGTTTTAAGTTCGTGCCAATCTTAATTGTATTGTTACAGTCATACGAATTACACTAATTTACAGGAACTACATTGTACGTGTTATAACGTACCGTTTTATTTAAAGATTAAAGCAGTCTAGACTTGAAGCTTTTGTGACTGCAAGGAATCATATTCTTAGGTGTTTTCGGTAAAGTCACGTAGGTAAAACATCAAAATTAATAAAATAATAAAATAAAGATAAAAAATATTTTTATTTTATTATGTTTGATGTTTTACCTACGTGACTTTACCGAAAACACCTAAGAATATTAAAGCAGTCCCCTTGGTCAGCCACACCGAAACATTGGCCACTGAATCTGCCGGACATATATTGCCAGGCGCAAGAATTACTAATCTACAACTCGCATCGTAACAATAGCCTGATTTACTATTCTAGTATATATTACAAACAGGTCCCTGCGGGGTGGGCTGGTAGGAACGAATAACCAAAGAATATAAACATAATGTATTATTCACTTGTTTAGCCAGGAAAGCCTCACTGAGTCTAAAGCAGGGGTCATGAATCTTTTTGACTGGGAGAGCCATAAAAGCCAAATATTTCTAAATATATTTCATTGAGAGCCTTATAGTATTTTTTACGTATAATAAATTAAATGTCTTACTTTTAATGCGACTTCTGGTCACGGGTGCCGTGACCCGAGAAATGTTATCTTCAAAACTAATTTCTGTTTACTTTAAAATGACACAGTATTATTAAGCAATATCACAAGTATTTTAAAATCAGTTCCAAACTGATTTTTATATTATTATTTTCAACTCAAAATTGTCTGGGAGCCATATGCCGTCACCGGAAGAGCCATATATGGCTCGCGAGCCATAGGTTCCCGACCGCTGGTCTAAAGGTTTTGTAGGGTCCTGCCAAGTGTTTGCAGTAGGGGGCGATGTTGCTACACGGACGGACGATATAATCTATTGTAGGCTGGTTCACTTCGTTCCTACCAGTATAACCCCCAGTCAAATCTTTGCACCTGACGAATTAATGAGTTGATGATGACGTTACCCTGCTGCTGCTGCTGCTCTATATAAGACGGGAGACAGAGCAGAGCCTCACCATTCTGGCGAATTGCCCGATGATGCTGGATGCAATTACCAGCGAAACGTCGTACAACTCAATTGTAAATGTTGTGGTTTCACGCTTCAACACACCAGTGTGGGGCTAAAGTAGTGAACTATTTAATTGCAGATGTGCAGCGCCTTGCGACCTCTGGTTGAAACCGCGCTTAATAAGCGTAAATTAGTTATTATGAACGCATTAATCTCAGTTGTAAAGTCAAAGTGAGAGGCGTTTCCTGCATCAGATGAACGCTGAAGGCACCGGTGTTCATCTGTATCAAGTGAGAGAATTTCTCTCACTTGATACAGCAATCGTGCTGTGACGGTTCCACCTGAAGACGGAAGCTTGTGTTGCCTCCGAAACGTCGTGATTTTTATTTTATTTTTATTTTACTTTTATTAATTGTAATTTTTTACCTACGTGACTTTACCGAAAAAACCTTAGAATATGTTCATCTCCTGTTTAACAGCCCTGCAGAGCCCAGCGGTGGAAATTCCACATTACTTTGGCGGCAGAGGGTAGGACAAACTGGAGAGCCACACCGACCCAACTGTGTCTGACATGACATTAAAACTAATGACGTATTTACGAATCGTCGCTCGGAGAAAAAAAACATGTATACTATTATCAATAAGAATTATAATTACTTTTAAAAAGATATTGCATGTGTGCGCATTTCACACATGTATTTTACAATGTCAAAATAATTCGTTAAAAATCACTGCTAAGAGATAAGACAACATCTACTATCAAAAAAATACTTTAAAAAATAATCTATTTTGCGTGTGTGCGCATTTCACATGTGTGTATTTTATAATCTCATCCGTAGATGCTTCAGGTGTGCCGGGCTCCCTCCCAGCGCAACCGGTCAGTCCGCTTGTCCTCTAAGCCCACCAAACCCACCACAGCTCCACGAAAGGTGAGACATTGACTACTCATCCGCCTCGGGGGTAATATCATGAATCAACGGATGACATTGCGGTGCAAATGTCAAATATTGTGTGTTTACTCTCCAACATAGTAGTAACTCATCTTCTTGGTTCTTTCGGTAAAGTCACCACGTAGAAGGGAAGTAATAAAATAATAAAAATAAAACATAAATAATTCTCACGACGTTTCGGCTACAACTCAAGCAGCCGTCTTCAGGTGAAGAATGAAACACTGCCAAGCTTGGAGCTTTTATATAAGCTGGGTTGGAGGTGGATGAAGAGCTCCTTGACAAAAGAATTTGCATATCAAGGCGCTCTTCTTCCACCTCCAACCCAGCTTATATTTACGCTCCAAGCTTGGCAGTGTTTCATTCTTCACCTGAAGACAGCTGCTTGCGTTGTAGCCGAAACGTCCTGAGAATTATTTATGTTTTATTTTTATTATTGTATTATTTCCCTTCTACGTGATGACTTTACCGAAAGAACCAAGAAGATGAATCCCTGCAGTCACGAAAGAAGCTTTAAATCGAAATAGTAGTAACTGTTCGGCACGTTTTGTTTCCGTGACAAACCTTAAGTAATTGGCTGCGTCGGATGGTGTCGAGTTAACGACACGTATATTTACGCCATCTAACCCAAAAAAAACCTCTGTTATGAATAATATTTTATCGCGAAAGCCTACGTGTGAAATTGAAATCCTTTCGTGTTTGCTCGGCATCTAAAATAGCCATTCCGCTTGTTATGAACCTGTCAAGAAAGGATGACCGGCACACCCACTTCCATAACTTGAACTCAGGAATTCACTTGTTGGTTCAGTGTCTCTCACGCAACCATTGTTAAACCCTTCTGATAGAAATCCAGACCCAGGATCTCAGCAGTGCTTGCTCAGTATCTTAAAAAAAAACTCAACTAAGATAAAACTATATTTTACCATGTAAGGCCCACCGAGCTATGTCGCTCTTTTTAAATCCTTTATATTAAGTTCACGTGCTTGCTTGCTTGCTTACGACCGTGCAAATCTTTCCGTCGTTTTTTAACCCACTTCCCGTGATCCAATCGAGCTGACATTTTGCACACAGACTCGTTGTGCGTGACAATTTATTTTCGTGAAAAAATATTTCCAAAATGTTCCACTTTTTAGGAAAAAAAAAAATTCTATTTAATTTAAAATACCAATGTGATAAAAAGAAACTCTTACTCAAGAAAACAGAAATGAATAATAAAATAAAACCGATGCCACGCATATAAAGGATTTATAGTGAAAAACTTTGTTTTTACGGGTTAATTTTTTCAGAAGCGACGTGGCCAGCGCAAATGACAGCTCAGCGAAGTGGATTATCGTCGTCTTTGGAATTTATAGCAGCCAAATACTCTTAAACGCACGTTGACTCTAAATGTAGAGGGAAAAAAACAGGAGGTCCCGGAGAAAAATCCACGCGACCACAGGGAGAGCATTCAAAATCCAAATATACAGCAGCAGGTGTCAGGGTCTCGATCGAACCCCCGACCTCCTGTACACCAGGCGAGGTAGTTTACATCTCACCACCGTGATGATGATGATGATGAGAGGGACACGCAAACTCCAAATATACAGCAGCAGGTGTCAGGGTCTCCATCGAACCCCCGACCTCCTGTACACCAGGCGAGGTAGTTAACATCTCCTAGCCACCGTGATGATGATGATGAGAGAGACACGCAAACTCCAAATATACAGCAGCAGGCGTCAGGGTCGGGATTGAACCCCCGACCTCCTGTACACCAGGCGAGGTAGTTAACATCTCACCACCGTGATGATGATGATGAGAGAGACACGCAAACTCCAAATATACAGCAGCAGGCGTCAGGGTCGGGATTGAAACCCCGACCTCCTGTACACCCGGCGAGGTAGTTAACATCTCACCACCGTGATGATGATGATGAAGAGAGACACGCAAACTCCAAATATACAGCAGGCAGCGTCAGGGTCGGGATTGAACCCCCGACCTCCTGTACACCAGGCGAGGTAGTCAACATCTCACCACCGTGATGATGATGATGAGAGAGACACGCAAACTCCAATATACAGCAGCAGGCGTCAGGGTCGGGATTGAACCCCCGACCTCCTGTACACCAGGCGAGGTAGTTAACATCTCACCACTGTGATGATTATGATGATGAGAGAGACACTGCAAACTCCAAATATACAGCAGCAGGCATCAGGGTCTCCATCGAACCCCCGACCTCCTGTACACCAGGCGAGGTAGTTAACATCTCACCACCGTGATGATAATAGAGACAAAGACACGCAAACTCCAAATATACAGCAGGTGTCAGGGTTTAGATAAAACAACATGACCTCCTGCATACCAGATGAGGTAGTTAACATCTCACCACTGTGATGACGATAGAGACAAAGGCATGCAAACTTTAATTATACACCATGCGTCAGGGTCGGGATAAAACAACACGACCTCCTGCATACCAGTCAAGGTTGTTAACATCTGGTAAAATAAAAATGTTAAATACATTTTTTAAAATTTTAATTTAAAGCTTTCGTGACTGCAAGGATTCATATTCTTAGGTTTTTTTCGGTAAAGTCACGTAGGTAAAAAATTAAAATTAATAAAAGTAAAATAAAAATTAAATAAAAATCACGACATTTCGGAGGCAACACAAGCTTCCGTCTTCAGGTGAAACCGTCACAGCACGACAGCTGTATCAAGTAAGAGGGATTCATATTCTTGGTTCTACCGAAAGAACCAAGAATATTGTTTTTTAAAAATCCTTTATATTAAGTTCACTTGCTTGCTTGCT